CCCCCCCCCTTTTTGAGTTCCAAGCCCTTTGTTGAGATTTCAGTTGTTAAGTCAAACCTCATTGTGCTGCTCTGGATCTTCTTGCTGAGATCAGGAGCCGTTTGTATTTTTTGTGCGAATACAAAAGCAGTGATTGAACCCTGATGCTGACGCGATGGGACGCTGAACGAATCCACCTTCACGAATCAATAAATCATGTTCTTCCCTTCTCGTCCGTCCAGGCCCAGAGACACATCACCGACCTGTACGAGGACCTCAGAGATGGACACAACCTCATCTCCCTGCTGGAGGTTCTCTCCGGAGAGACACTGGTGAGCTTTACCTTGACCTTTGACCTTCAGACCTCAGGACAAGCCGTGACCCCGTGTCCCGTCCAAACCTTTCTCCCGAGCGACCCATTTTATTTGCTGTCCTATTTGTTCCGGTGTGTTTGTCGTAACTGTTCAGTGTTCAGTCGGATATTGTCCCGCTGGTCCTCTCCAACCTTGCATGTGTTGAATTCTTCAGGACATGCTGAGGTCATGCGCACTCTTTTACTTTACTTACCTTAGCGCTGGTCTTTGCGGCGCACATCGTCTGGTGCCGTAGCCTTAAAACACTAATTTTCATTATTTGCTTCCATCTCGTAACCTTTCTGCACTGACTCGTTTGACCCCTGGTTTTTTCCTTTTTCTAATTCCTGTTTGCTGACCTCTGCCCTGACATTTCCCCCTCTGCCTCTGCCTTCCTCTCTCTTGCGATGCTCTCGCTGATTGTAGCCGAGGGAACGTGACGTTGTGAGGAACGTGCGGTTGGTGAGTGGCGCCTGGACCGTGGCTGGCCGCCTCCTCGGGCGTGGCATGTGTCACCACCCCAGGTGGCTGCTGGGTTGTGCATGATGACTGTCACACTCCTCGTTTATTGTGTCATTGTCCTTCCATTTTGTCTGGGATAAACCTTCTCAGGAGTCATGAATAAGTGTGAGCTTGTTTTAGGAGCAGTGTTGGAAACAGATGCATGTAGATTCTACTCTTGTTACTTTCGGGAAGTCTAGTGAGGAATCCGACAGATATATTTTTTTACGTCTTAAATTTGTGCAGAAGAAGTTAAAGGACCATATTTCACATCCATGTCAAATCCAGTGTAGTCTCCATAAAGACAAACTTTTCAAATTGAAGTTTTCTTATCACATTATTTGTTTCCTGGGTTTAAATCACCAACAACACGATACAGTAGTTTATGAATGAGAAATAAAAATGAAATAAAAAAGTTTCTGTGAGCAGAAGTTGACGATCATTAGAGAAACACAGAAGAATATGCGATGAGCTCAAAATGCTCATCCTAGATCACAGAAGCTTCAGACACAGTGTGACCGCAGCTAAGAGCCGAGGCTGCAAACCAACCAATCAGGATCAAGGACGAAACGACACTGAACGCACCACTTTATTGGAAAAACATGCACTTTTCCAACGTTTACCTTTAATGAGTCGTTGAAAAATAAGAGGAAATGGTTAGTTGTTGATATAAAACATGCACAGTCACTGGGTGTGGTCCTGTGAAACTGAACGTTCTCTGCACTGCGAGCTGCTAAATGTTAAAAACAAAGCTTGACAACGGCTGAGAGCTTAACATGTGGAGCACTGATGCATGTCACAGCCATCACTGCTGGTTTAACTCCGTCCTGCACGGAAACGCTTCTTGGAATCCGCTCGATTCGAATCTAAGACACTGTAGAAGTTTCTGAAGTTGAGCGAAGGGCTTTGAGACTGACGTTCCCTGAGTTTATCATTCATCCTCATGCTTTCACCTGCAGACATCCTGGCTGGATCTCTAATGCATCTCTGGGTCTCTGAGGGTCAGATCTGACTCTGAACGCTTCGATCACAGCCACGCAGAATTTGAATCACACTTCAAATTTGCCACGTTCTGGGTTTAAGCTTCAAAGCCCATGGCTGTAGAGCTTGTTTATCCAGTAGAGTAGATCACAGGAGGTGTTGCTGGACTCTGAAACACCTCTTCCCTCAGTCATTTGCTTTGTCTGTTGATCACTCTGGAACCTCGTGCGTTTGTCTCTGACTGATGTTTGGTGTCGTCTCGTCTCGTCTCTCGCAGCCGCGGGAGAAAGGACGGATGCGCTTCCACAAGCTGCAGAATGTACAGATCGCTCTGGACTTTCTCAAACACAGACAGGTCGGTGCAGAAAACCATAGTTGAACAATAAGTACAAATACACCAGCAACTACTTGAATAACTGTGTCGGTATTCACACACCTTCAGGTCAAACTGGTCAACATCAGGAACGATGACATTGCAGATGGAAACCCTAAGCTGACCCTGGGTCTGATATGGACCATCATCCTTCACTTCCAGGTAATACACGATTCTCTCTGCAGAATTAATTTTTAATATTTAATATGTACATCAGCCAATATATCTGTATTTTTACTCCTATGATTTGAAACGACCCCCAGAAATCGATCAGGCTCGACTTTTTCTATAAATTCCTTAAATCATGTCAGTGAACTTAAACTGGGAAACTAGATTAAAATAAAACACTATTTAAATTGCATTTGCGGACTGAGGCCCTGATGGAAACAAATGAAGCAGATTTCTTCTTTTTCACATGTTTTTCTTTCCAACTTCACTTTGGCACCGAATTCCATTAAATCAGATTCTTCCATCGTTTGTCTTTTTTTTAAATGGTTTACGTTGTGATTAGTTTGTTTCTGCAGCGGTGATGAGAATCAAAGTGCTTTTCTGTGAGTGGACTTTAATCATCAGCCTCATGTTGACTCAGCAGTTACAGAACAGTGGAGTCCAGCTGCCAGTCATTTCCAAATGGGCCGTATTGGACATTTGGCAGCACTTATCCTCTCATACACAAATACCTCCGCTGCTGCAGCCCTCGACTGCACCGAGACTAAACACTGAAGAAAGACATTCATTCAACTCTTGAAAGGATTTCCTCGTCCATTCGTTTGCTCTGTTTTCTCAGTTTCCGTGTGAAGCTCGATACGCAGAAACATGACTCCTCATCCTCAAACGTAAACAATATGAAATCTGGGGGAAAGCGTTCGTCAGTCGGTGTTTCTGATGAGATGGATTTCCGCTCGGCAGATGGTTCTGTAGATTTTTTGGGAAAACGCGTGGGAGGACATGATGCCTCTCTGATGCTATAATGATTATGATGGTTATGTTGGGATGTGGGATGGTTTTACTCATCCCTCAGTGTGACTCAGTGATTCCCACGAGAAAGCTGGCAGGAGACGTGGGACGGCACAGCCCCGGAGGAAGTCTAACTTTGTAGAAAACTCTTTTTGTGTGTGTTAAACTTCTCTGTAGTTTGATTTCTAACCTGGATTAAGTGTTTTTCTGTCGCTGTTTGAGTAATAAAAACCAAAAACGTCCCTGTAGATCTGCACTCAGTCACCAGGCAGCTTTTATATCCTCAGAATAAACCCATAATCTCTTTGTGTTGGCACAAACAATGGTTCATTTCCTCTGAGCTCCTGCAGGTGCAGCTCACAGTTTTGCTTATACGCAGGTGAATGGTGGAAATAATGTGCTGCTTCGAGCTGGGATTCTCTCAGCGCCTAAAAAACGAGGCGCAGGGCGGAGGTCCTCTTTCCATTCGGCTTCTGACTCACATGTTGCCCACGTCCACAGCAAAGCACCGGGGTTTCCCTTCGAGAAGTAAAATAGCAGAAGGAACAAATGCCGCCTTTTTTCCCTCCTCCACCCTTTCCTGCAGAAATGATTAGTTCTGCTGTGACTCATCAACGAACCCACACTGAAAATAGTGCATAGTTGTAATAATGCAGCTTTTACTTGTTCCAGTGAAAGAAATGCATCAGGCTTCATTTGATAAAACATCAGCAGCAGCTAATGTGCCGTAGATGTAGCGATGCATGGAGGAGCGAGGATGGAGAGGGTGGTCGACCGTGTGGCGGTTCAGAGGTTCAAACTGAACGCGGCTTTACAGATTCAAACTTAGGAGCCGCCCTCCTTTGATTACAGGGTGTTAAGCATTGGCCCTGCAAGGTTAAGATGGTTTGAAACACCAGGTGGCGCTATGAATCATATTCAACCCATAAATGTGGATGTGTTTTATTAAATTTGAGGAAAAGTGGGATTTTCAAACCGGTGTTTATATATTTCATCGAATAACAGTTTAGTTTGCAGACGGGTCTGCAGCATCACCTCTGAGCTTTCCTGTGATTGTTGCTTGTTCTTACATCGTGTGCCTCGTTCAGAGAGCTCCACCCTCCTGGTACAGCAAGTCACCCAAAACAAACACCAACCCCTACTCATCCGGCTCATCTGATTATAGATACGACACAGACGGCCACTCCTGGGTGGTGGGTTCGTGCAAAAGAAGAACTCAGTGTCACTCAGCTGCAAAATCAAACCAGTAAAACTCATGTCGACCTCCTCCGAGTCAACACACTTTACCTTAAAGACATTTGTATTGATTAGAATCTGCTGTTTGTTTTGTGGTCGCACACAAGAGTTTCAGTTCTGTGTTCTCGTGACTCACAGCTCGGTCTCGCGGCTCTTAAGAAAAGTAGGAATTCGCCCCGTATGACTTCTTGTTGCACAGTCCAACATTCATTCACAGCAGCCGAGGTTTTTTTAACGTTCAGTATAATTTAGTGACTCACAGACGTTTTCACTCCGATCACTTCTTTTTCTGCTTCTCTGAGGTCGATGGATTTCATGTGGCCTTCAGGGATAAAGTGGTGGTTTGTTATTTGGAGGTTTTGAATGTGACTCATATGAAGTCCAGAAAAAAAACACTTCAATTATATTCAACGTACAAAGAAAAAGTCATGTGCCACTGTGAATAAATCTAACATTTCAATAAACGTACAGTTTTATATTTGACATTTAGGAAGAATTCAGCTTTGCTTGTTGTTTTATTTTAAAACTACCCTCATATACATTTACTCTCTGATTTGAATCTGTATTATTTGCTTACGTCCTCTCCGTCAGATCTCGGACATCCAGGTGAACGGTCAGTCGGACGACATGACGGCCAAAGAGAAGCTGCTGCTGTGGTCCCAGAGGATGGTGGAGGGATACCAGGGCCTGCGCTGCGACAACTTCACCACCAACTGGAGGGACGGGAAGCTCTTCAACGCCATCATACACAAACACAGGTGAGACACACACCGTGAAAACATGAAACTGATTAAACACAACTTCACAACAGCAGTGGCACAAAGGGTTTTCTGAAATGGATGTCACTGTGGCAGTCACTATGGATCCTCGATACTTGAAAGATAATGTGGTGTTTCCAGGATTATTACTCCACCGTATATTCACTTACCAGGAAGTGTAAATAACTTTTGGACTCGTACTTGACACAGGAATAAAATTTCATCCATTACGAGCTGAAAAAGTCTTAAATTCAACTTGTTGAAACCTGCAGATACTGTTTGATTCATGGTGTTTGCAGGTTTTCACTGCAGATAAAGTTTATATTGAAGCTTCATAAACTTCTCCACCCTTCCACTGTGAGTCTGCGTCATAATAACAATGATAGTTGCAGATTTGTGTCCGAAACTTATAGTTTTACAGAAGTGGTTTGAAAAGTGAAAAGAGTTTTTCCTCTGTCTAAGAACTGACATGAATCCAAGCTCAGTTCTTCTCAGTGAGGAAAGTCAAACTTTGGAACAGCCCGAGAGGAGGCGGCTGTTTCAGAGTCATTATATTTTGGGTGGAGTGCCACTTGTAGTCTTTGTGTGTGTGCACAGAGAAAACCGCCCCTGCAGCCTCGCTCACCACACGACACAGAAACTCCATGTAGAGCGGCTGCAGCTGTCATCGCTCCGTGTGAGAAGACGGGGCGTTTTCAGTGTGGGTGTATCACACAGGTTTGAGAAAAGGTTGCCCTGAAGGTGTGCTCACTGGAGGCTCGGCAGGTTGCAGCAAAACGCAGGTACGCCATCCATAGATTCATTCTGGGTGGAGGAAGAACGATACGCGGCGAGCTGCAGGACCCACACAGACGTTTGGCTGGCGAGGACTTTAATTTTAATTCAAGGATGAAATCATTATTTCCGTCTGACCCTCAAAAGATTTTGTAACTTCAGATTTTGCCAAGTAAAGTCCTGGAAACCTTTTCCTGCTTTTTATCGTGACCATTGCAACCATGTTGAAGCTGAAGCGAAAGTTCCACTCCAAGCGGCGCCTGAACAGCACGTCCAGCAGCACGGCGGGCTCCGTCAGCGACCTGGAGGACAGGGTGGTCATGCTGTGCGAGGACATCCCGGTCGAAAACTCCTTCGACTCGGGCCAAGGCTCCCACAGCTTCGGGGCCCGCTCAAGTCGAGGGTCCCACAGCGAGGAGCACGAAGCGGGAGCGGAGCCGCACGTCTTCCACCTGAGCCGGGACAGATTGTCCTACAGGCAGGCGAGCTACGTGGACAGAGAACCAGCACAGCCGTATAAAGAATACTACATCCAGAGGGTGGTGGAAGTGTACGCCGAGCTTTTAACTGTGCTAAATTTACTCAGTATTCTGTGAGATCTTTTTAATAACATGTACTTAAATGTTATTTAACTGCACTCATCCTTCCAGCAAAGTAATTGTTTTGTGTGTATGAAAAGGTTGGGGAATTTTAAATCTTCTACGCGAGTGAGGACTCTTGTTTTTTCTTGCCCTCTCTGGTATTAGTGGAGACGTCCCATGAACAACCTGCCTCCAGCAACATGAAACCTAAAATATGTAAGATAGCGTTTCAAACCTGTCAGCTGTCGATGTGCAATTATGGCTGGCAGGTCATAAAAAACTGAAATGTTCAGGGGCTAAAGTCAGAGAAGATAATTAACGAGTTTCTTCTCAATGGTCACGTGTTTTTTGGATCTGACAGCTTGACGACCTATTTCTAGTCCGACTCTTCTGGTTTGTGTCCGCAGGCCCACGCTCATCGACATGGATCAAGTTTACCGACAGAGCAACCAGGAGAATCTGGAGCAGGCCTTCAGCGTGGCGGAGAGGGAGCTGGGCGTCACCAGACTTCTGGACCCCGAGGGTGAGACCCGTCGACTTCAGAAACGATAAAAGCTTCAGGGATTATTTGAGCTTATTTATTTGCTTCTTGAGGAACATTAACAAAAAACAAAAAACAGTGATGGCCTCTGATGACGACAGATGACAGTTCAGGATTAACGATTTTCTTTCCTACACTACAATGCACAAATCTAAATACCAGCAAACCAAATCAAAATTTAATTTTTTCCTTTTCCTCTCTTTCCAGATGTTGACGTGCCTCATCCAGATGAGAAGTCCCTCATCACGTATGTGTCCTCGCTGTATGACGTCATGCCCAGGGTGCCTGACGTTCAGGACGGCGTTAAAGCCAACGTGAGTCGTCTTCTTCCACGGCATCAAACCGTCTTCACATCATGTTGAAGCAACAGAGACAAATATTGTTTATTTTAAACACGATGCCGTTGATCAGCTTAATATTCGACTGTGTAGTTTTGTAGATGCTCTTATTTAGAGACGTGTGTTTGTATCTTCAGGAGCTGGAGCTGCGTTGGCAGGAGTATTACGAGGTGGTCACCGTGCTGCTGCAGTGGATCAGACACCACATCCTCGTCTTCGAGGAGAGGAAGTTCCCCAACAGCTACGAGGAGATCGAGGTGAGCGGGTCAAACAGGTGAAAACAGAGTAAACAGATGAACACGTGGAGCTGACTCCTCTCTCTCCTGATCTGCAGGTTCTTTGGCGTCAGTTTCTGAAGTTCAAGGAAACAGAACTTCCTGCGAAGGAGGCGGACAAGAACCGCTCCAAACACATCTTCAAGTCTTTTGAGGTGAGCTCTCATGAATCTGTCAGTCACATCATAACTGTTCACCGGAAGTGTTAAAGCAATCTGTACCCAGAACCCTCAAAGCTGCTGTAATTAAATAAAACCGAGACCAATTACACTTTCACACGATAGTTCACCTCTCAAAGTTCTGCCTGCAGGGCACAAACACAGAGTGGAACAGATTAACACCAGGACAAGTTTCCATTTGGAGTCAAACCTTCAGTATATATGTCTCACCAAGCGTCCAGGGTTCGACTGAACGTTCCATAAGAACACAGGCACGAGTATTCAAGGTTCATTAGCTGCAGCTTCTTTTGATTTTGCTCGCAAGTGTTCAAATCGGCACTTTGTTAATAACAACTCCAACTATCAAATACACAACCAGGCGTTAAACACAGTCTGTTACACATCTATCCACAACTAGTCCACTTGTTTTCATCTCAGGTGGAACACACCCGCATGTTTGAATGCTGATGATGCATCTGTCATTTGAGAGAAAGTCAAGTCGAGTCAGATTTATTTATACAGCACTTTGAAAACAACAGGAGCCAAAGTTCTCTACAAACTTGAAAAAAAGTGAAACAAAAGTAAAAGATGAAGATGCAGTAAAAGACAAACGAGATAAAAGTAAATGAGATTTAAAAAGTCAAGAATCGTGAGAAAAAATCTGACTGAACCAAAACATTTGATTTAAAATGAGCAGAAACAGAGAAAAGATCAGCGATTGAAAAAAGTTGTGAGCAAAATACCCGAGTGCCGCAGTTTTCTAACGACAACAAATAAACGTTCTCATGTTTCAGGGTGCAGTCCAGGCCGGTCACGTCAAAGTGCCGCCGAGCTACCATCCCTTCGACGTGGAGAAGGAGTGGGGTCGTCTGCACGTTGCCATTCTAGAGCGAGAGCGTCTCCTCCGGACAGAATTTGAGAGGTGAGTCAGCCACGAAGTGAAACTCATCACATGCTCTCCGCTACCTTGTTTTTCTATAAATATTAGAAAAACCACCAGAGAGTCTCTCTGGCTGTGTGACCATGAGGATGACTCATCCCCGGATGATTGGGTCCACTTTTGTAATAAAACCACACTGAGTTGGCTTTGTGGGGCGGAAAGAAGAAAGAAAAACTCACATTAGGGCAAACGCATGACAAATTTGCTGTTGCCACGGCAACAGTATCACAATAACACGGTCGTTTGATCGTCACCGATGAGCTTTTCTTTTTTTTTTTAAATCACATGGTAGGCGGGGCGTAGCTTTTTATTTTGGTTCTTGCAACACTTAAGAAAGTTTTGTTTTAGAAAGTATCTTCTGTACTTCAGTGCACACACAGAGCTCCATAATGGCTTTCATGCAACAGGGATACGATTTTAAGTTTGTATTCCGCCAAAGGACGGAGTGAGTGTTTCCCTTTTTTTCCACTTAAATCTATTAATTCAGTTTTTAATTACATGTGGGAGATGGTTTTGCTTCGGTTTATCTCATCAGAGCAGCAATGCAACAAAGGATCATTTGACTCACAGGTTATTTACTGTGTTTAAACATGTTTGACCTCCTCCCTCCCTCCCTCCCTCTCTCTTTCTCTCCCTCTCCCTCTGCAGGCTGGAGCGACTGCAGAGGGTCGTCAGTAAGGTCCAGATGGAGTCAGGGGTGTGTGAGGAGCAGCTCAACCAGGTGGAAACGCTGCTGCAGACGGTGAGACACAAACAGACCAAATAAAGAATCTGTCACAGACATGAATGTGGCCACACGCAGCGCTAACTCCTGTGTGTGTGTGTGTGTGTGTGTGTGTGTGTGTGTGTGTGTGTGTGTGTGTGTGTGTGTGTGTGTGTGTGTGTGTGTGTGTGTGTGTGT